CAGGACACTTAAACTGAAATTTTGCCTGTGTATATGAGTGTGTGACGATGTCAAGTATAAAAAAAAACACGAAGTCCAGTGAAAAGTCTCTTCTCGGCGAATTCATTTTCTTAGCTGGAAATTCCCAAATATATATGGGTAATTTTGTATATATGTGTACATTTAGTTTTTCAAACGAAAATACAGTTGGTTGTGGTTATTTTAACTAAACAGTTAAAAATTAGTAAGTTTTGGGTAGAGTTGCGTAACTTAAAGACGGTCAAGAAAAGTGGGTGTTATTGAAACTAGGGTAGTAGCAAAGGTGATGAGTTATCAAAAACAACTGTTAAAAAGTATGGTTTGCCTAATTAGACGTATGTAATCACTGAGCAAAGCCTAAGGACAGAAACTGTCTGTATTGAAACAGATGTATATCAGTGAAGTATTCTTGAGACTGACGACAAGAAATTAGTTTCACTGGAAGCGTGGTGGGAGGTGGTTGCTAGCCAAAAGTTGTAGACAGTATTTTACGTCAATGTTTATGTTCCAAATATTGGTCGTGAGAAAATATGAACAGAACTGATTCAACAAACAATCACAGCAGACTTTGCATAGGCAGATACAGTTAACATATAGATGATGATCTGACATTCAAGAAACAGTCACAAGGAGATGCAAGGTCAACTTTCCGTGAGAAACAACCATACAGAAGTGTGTTTATTTGCTTGAATAAGCTACAATAATGTACATGAAAATATATAAATACGTGTTGATTCCCTTAATAGACGATCTGTTTCCTGGCCCTTGTCTTCTATTGTTACAGAAGGATTCAATTTCATTGAAGTCCTCAGTATACTTATTAAAAATTCTAAATTATATTTATGTTGAGATTATTTTTGTGGCAAACAAATAAGGACTCGACTTGTTTATTTCACATAGAAGTAACTATTGATGTTGACAGCTCAGTGTCGTGGCAGTGTGACGGCGGAAGAGAGTAGTATTTGGTATTTGCGACCTTCTTTATTCGACTAAATAATGTAAACAGATATTGAAAAGACACAAAAGGATGGGCGACAAAACACGGGAACCTTTCATTGAAATTCCAATTTGCAAACGTTATTCCTGTCCAGTTTTGCTCTCTACATTGTTTCATAATGACCTTCCATCACTCCTCTTCACACCTTAATGCTTCGCTCTGATATTCAGTATTCTTATCGAAAACATCATACACATACCACTTCGAAATTCTTGTCAGTAATATGCACCCCGACTGTATTTTTGTTAGAAAATTCCTCAACTAATTATTATTTATAGGTTATAATTTATGTCTTCAAATTTAAAGGATTACTTTCAAAATGGCTTACATTTGAAACTGGTGCTTTATAGCCTCCCTCTAAGGTCAACATGAATACAATAAAGAGGATTCCTGTTGTCCACCTCTTAAATTCATTCTTCTTATCTGGAAAATATTATGTACGAAGTACTGAACCTAAATTCTTCACTTTCTAACATTTAGCACGTGCATCAATTTATATGTGGTATAACCAGCAATACGACCTGATAGTTTACGAGTCTCTTGGGCCAACGGAATTTCCTACCTAGTAGATTTACTAGCCTATCCTTCTAACCACTATTCGTATAGACAACTAATACGATATAATACCTCTGGCACGCGAAACATGCCATTGACAAGAAAGCTTTCGCTGTTTCGAATCAGCAACAAAAAGGCTCGACAGCACCTGTGCACATATAGGCTTTAAATGAACTTGAGAGACATTGATTTAATTTGTAAGTAAAAATATTCGACAACCAGTAGGGTTCAGTCGTCATAGAGAAGGAAATGCAAACATCACGTTGGTGTAAAAATAGAGGCAGTAGTTTAAAACTTTGGAAACACTGGGTGTAGATAACAATATGCTAAATAAAAAATAATGCTTTACCCTCCGCTGACGTCCTTAATAACATCGGAGAATAAATTGTTACGTAACTGAGTCTTTAAGCTTTTCCTGCTGTACACACTGACAATAGCAGATATACTCTCATGAGGAAAAGATCAACAAGATTATGAGCTCTAGATACTAGTTTAACACATTACAAGATGAACATACTTATCACCCCATGCACTTATTGTAAATATTCTTCTTTCAATGATTGCATCAATTTCATCTTCTACAGTAATCTTAGGTTTTTATTATTAAGCTAAAAATTTATTTCACATTTCCTTTGAAACTAGACTAACAGGTTTCAACATTTCTTTCATCAGAAATCTCCGTAATATCATCAAACACTTCAAGTTAGTCAGCTATTTTGTTTTTAATGATTGCTTTGAGAATTTCTTATGTTGCTAAAGTGTAAATGTTAAATAAGCATGCTGGAATGTGACAACTGTCGATTACTGAGTAATATTGATGTTAATAATAGCTTTATTGAATTTGAGATTTTCCCGTCGATTGGCTGGACCGAAATGCTCGGTCTCAGGTTGACGTGTTGGCTTCTTGTGCAGACCGAGCATTTCGGTCCAATCAGTCGACGGGAAAATCTCACATTCAATTAAATTAATATAACCCGTTGCACTAAAGGTGGCTCTCGTGAACCAAGTGGTCTAGTGGATAACGCTTTGGCGTTTGAAACTATGGGCACTGGGTTTGAGCCTCAGTGGGAACATCATCACTCACTGAGAAATGTAGATACAACCAGATGACGAGTCCCAAGTAGAACGAAATACGCATCCTGGATTCCACTGCTAGTCACCATCCACCAATTAAATAATAGCTTTATTCGGGACTGCATGCTCATTTATAGCACGGAATTTTCATTGTGGTTTTATTCTGAATCTTCAAGTACAACATTGATCTACAGTATATCATTCAACAGAATTTTGTCCTTTTGTAATTAATAGTGTTCTCTGAGCTGGTTGGTTTAGTTGCGGAGCTTTCGTGTCACTGCCTCCAAAAGATGAAGATCCCATGGTCAATTGCGTTTGAAGAAGGAGACATACGGAGCTTCTTACGCGACTTCGAAGCCGTCGCTTAGCTGGTAGGTGTCAAGGAGCAGGCGGTGAAGGCGGCTGTCCTGGGGATGCTGTTGAGAGACCGAGCGAAGGCACCATATGACAGCGTAGACAGGTCAAATGGCACAGCGTCTTGGAAGAAATTGGTTGAACTATTGGTGTCGGAGTTTGACAGCACAACAGACAGACAGCTAGCAATGCAGCAGTTCCGTTCAACGAAGCTAGGACCTGATGGAGACCCGTTAGTGTTGGCGGTGGAATTGACAAATCTACTTCGACGTGCGCTTCCCCCTTTGGATGAAGAATCAGAAGCGCAGTGATTGTCTTCCCAATTCATCGAGAGTGTCCCAGACCACATTTCTCAGCGATTACAACTGGTTAACGCAACGCAGCCGATGGATATTAGTGAGCTGGCGAAGGTGACCAGACAGCTGCTGAGCACAACTGTAGCTGCTATAGAGCAACCAAAAGCAAACGAATATGAGCAGAAAATTGAAGCATTGCAGCGGAAATGGCGGCGTTAAGGTTGGGTGATAGGAAAGACCGATGTTTTGAATGCGGTAAGCCGGGACACTGGAGGAGATACTGCCCAGGAAGGCGAAAAAGAAAACGTTTCAGACGGTATAATATGTGTCCTTTCTCTCGTATGAAACTAGATTTACTGGGGGCTATTGAGAAAGGGGCTGTGTATTCGAAGTTGCGAGTGAATGATCGGGAAGTAGTGTGTTTAGTAGATAAAGGGGCGGCCGTGTCGTTAATACATAAGAACTTATGTAAGAGTGTTAGTCCGTGTTCACTGACAGTACAAACAGTAGGCGGGCATGCGTTGCGTTTCACGGGTAGATCGAACTAAACCAACCAGCTCAGAGAACACTATTAATTGCAAATCATCCACTTGAGCTACAAATTTTGTCTATTATTTCAGAATTTTGTCCTCCTGTTACATGCTTGAACCCTCAGTGGAACTTCCTCGTCAAAACAGACCAAGCCATGTGTTGTAAGCCACTCAAAAATGCATGTGAGTACAGATTATTCTTCAAGAAAGTAAGTAAGCGGTTAAGGGTAGTATGACTGAGTAAATTTGAAGTACTGTGCTCTTCAGAAAACCAGGCAGCTCAATGATTTAAACAAGCTGCAATCACAAAAATATTTGAATTCTGACTTTTTGAGAACATTAACTTTTAAATGCAGTGTAGAGTTTTACTAAATGTTATAAATGAAAGGAAACCTGAAATCAATAACTTTGTTACAAAAGTAAATCTTTGAATGAATTTAATCGAAAAAATGTATGCCCTTTGATTAAATTTTTCCACTTTAACTGTAGGAAGTAAATGATGAAAGCCATATACACAATATTTTTTAACCGCATTTTAAGCCACGCATCATATTAATGTTAGTGAACACTGAATAGTTTGTTTGTTCGAACTGGTCTCCATTTGGTGGGAGACAAGAAGGCTGTCATCACTTAATTGTGTACTGGTTAGCAGAAGATTGGAGAAGAAACCTCAGCACTGATTAACCACTGTAAATCTGTTTCGTCATCGCTTAAAGAATAAATAATCGTGTTGTCCAACCATTTTCCTTTGTTCCGCGTCGGTTACAGTGCATAGTGATCTAGGTATTCAGCTAATCTTTTGAAACTAGCGGTAGGTTTAGGATCTCAGAGGTCTGGATATTTCACATGCCATTTGTCAATCACTTCGACAAATAAAAGCTAGATTAGCCCTCTTATTCAGCTTCTGTTCCAGCAAAAACAATACGATGATTTTTGTGACTGAAGTTTTAAATAGCAAAGTTTTTAGAATTTCTCGGATTAATGATTTATCTCAAGGCATTGTAGATGTATTATCGCTATTCGTCAACAAGAATAACCCCTAATTGAAAACTGGTTTTTCTGCCTATTACAGCATACCACCCTACTGATAACGATAGAGATATAAGCATTACATAGTGTGTCGTCTCCTGTAAAATTAATGATAAATTATATATAAATGTAGAACTACTTTAGAAAGTTGACATTCTTAAAAACGATAAGCATAGATTGTCAAACACTTCAATCTTTTACACTTGTTAATTTACATATCAAAAAAAGTATACAATAAAGACTTTTGCATGACTGATGAATAAATGATGAATACATTTCGAAATAATATATAACAGTTAAGATGTACAGATATTATGAAGGTGGAAGTATTGCAACAAGAATAATCAGTTTGCTTTTCTTTGAATTAAACTTTGCTTCAGCTGTGCCAGTGTCTATACTGCATGGTAAACGAAGATCTAATGGTTGAAATTCAATCGGTGCGTCTACAACCTTCAGCATAACTCGATTCTATAGAAAGAAATTGTGAAAAAAAACAACTTCTACTTATTATACATATAAGTGAATTATGAATCATAATACCTAATGACAAAGAATAACGATGATAATCAAGACTGATGGAAAGATTCAGGAAACCGATAAACCTCAAAGCTTTGAGATTTACAATCTTAAGTGCACGCGATAAAATCCTATTCGGTACCACTTAGGATTTATTTTTATCTACAACTCTTCCGTTGATGTCTCCCAAACAAAAATTATTCTCAGGCATGTCACAGTTTGCACTGTGATAAGACTTTCTCGCATAAGTGTCTCAACCTTATGCTCCAGTGACTAAAGTATACATTCGTCGGATTGTCATGTCTTTAAACTCACTATTCAACAATATTAAAATGGAAAGACCCGAATTCGAAACATTATCTATACAGATCTGAAGTAAACGTTGTGTATTTTAGTATCGGTCTGTGTGGATTTGATTGATTGGTTACAAGATTACATCATGAGTTGACACCAGTTTTCCAGTGGCTCAACGATGTCAGCTTATGATGAAATCCTGTAACCAGTCCGTCAAATTCCTATAAACCAATACTTGACTACCAATGAGATTCTCACTAGCGACAGACCCTATTTTAGCTGAACAAATAGGCATCAATTTAATGAAAATGCCTCTCTTCAGGTGGCTTTTTTTTGTTATTGTTGTAAAGTTATTCAGAATTGACATTATTTTCAAGCAACTCTTAGGCTTTGAGGAGAACAACATTTCCTCTCCAAATATTTGTTAAATATTCCTTGAATGAAAATAAACAATGAAATTTTGGAGATTTTGAATCAGTAACTTATAACTTACAAGTGAGGTTACTTCATTCACTTATCTAGCATTTAGCATTGTCTCAACCACAGGAAGTCGGAACGGACAAGGATGTCAAATCGAGAATCAAGAAGGAAGGCGAGAAACACATTCATCAACCTGAAACCAATGTGGAAATCTTTGTCACTCAGCCAGAATCAACAACAAAATTCGGTCGGATTTTCAATACAAACGTCAAGTCAGTCAGTTCTTCTATACGGAACGGATCAGAAACTTGGCGGGCGGGTCACAAAGAATATTTCTAACAGCCTGATGCAGACCTTTATCAACCAATAACTGTCTTCGCTGGCTCTATACTGAAGATCAGATGGCCGGGTCGGAAAGAATCACCAACAAGAAACTATGTGAACAAAGAAAACAAGAACCCATCACCCAACATATATGCAGGAGAAAGTGGAGATGGATGGATTGGACACTCGCTCGCTGAGGAGGCCGCTGGGTGACATCGCGCGCCTGTTAGGCCATCGCTCGTGTGGAACCAGGCCGAAAGGGAAGTGGCGAGTGGGACGTCAGTGCAAGGGTGACATGGAGGAGATTGTGTGAAGAGAGAGGAGTTGAAAGAGAATGGACTAACATGGATGCAGGTGAAAAGTACAGCTGAGGGAAGACAGAAGCAAGTGGAGACGTGCGGTTGAAGCCCTATGTTCCACTAGGAACCCAAGGGACCAATAATTTTAAAAATTGTATTCAGTCCTTAGAGGAGTTACTTACTGTTTTCCCGTAACGACCTTAGTCGCGATGTTATTATCAGTGCTGATAATGTCAACCCATATCAAATTGTTGATGATATTATAGAACCACAACCTCAAAATGCCTATCATATCCACATCAGATTTGACTAATATTAAAATTATGGTGTCACTTCAACAGTATTCTGATCGTTTATATTGATTTGGCAATGGATGAAATGTTCATTTAAGCCTTACTGTTTAAAGACGACTCAATTTATCGTTTTCATAAAATTTTTTTTTGATTACAGCTTGATTCCACACCGTATTTTTGGTACAAGTATGGAATTTTCAGCGTGGATATCGGTAGCCCAAAATTCGCAGGCCGACCATAGATATCAGGTGTGCGTCGGCGTGGGCTCGAACCTCAGAGTTTTCAAATAGTAGTCTGGAAACTCAAACAAATACGTTACAATGTTTCAACCTTCTTAATTCAGCTCGTAAATCGTGCATTATATTTCATCTAACAGAAGCGAAATTCATCTGATTAGCTCATAGAAGTCTGATCTGCTTTTGTTAGCAGAGACTGAGAAGAAAAACCCCTAAATGGATGTCATACCTAAATCATAAAATGAATATTTTAGAAGTGACACATATTAGTCCTAATTTCTTTGAACGTCCAGCCAACAGTGCTAGGAAGTGATGAATGAAAGCAGCACAATAATTACTAGAAGCAGTTTCTACTAATTTATCTTATATCGACACCCATTAAACAACCACATATGTCTAAAAATAGTACAGTGTTTGAATAGTTTGTAAAACATTATATTTGTAAAATCTCAGTGAGATTGAAATGAGTAATTTCAATGTTTCACTCGGCTATCTGGTCCGAACTTCTTCAGGAAATCAATCGAAATTAACATAACAGCGGTTTATATATAAAAAGAACATCTCTTGTTTTTAAAACTTTGTCCATTCATGAGTCATAAAACATGTATGAACAAGTACAATAAACAAAATTGTATGAACTGTGATCTCACTCTGCACCCAAATATTTTAGAACTGTTCTGTCAGATTTTGATGACGGTTCACACACACAACTGGATGATTAGGTACGCATTACCAAATTCAGTCATTTCAATAAGTAAGACTTATAATTACTACCACACAAAAGATTATTCATTAGACCTGATTTCTACCAAATTCACTACAGAAATTAATTTTCACAACAATGAAGAAAAAAATAGTTTCCCTTCATACCTTCATTAAATCTACATCACATTGTTTGCCTGATTTTAAACCAGGCAGCTTGAATGTCAATTTCAGTTTGTTGGTGTTACCCGACTTTTCTGTGCAACCAGAAGGAATTACTTCAGCTGTCCAAGAAACAGGTCTTCCTCTCTGTTGTGTAGGATCCCCGGCATCGTTTGACACTTCGTTTATCTCTTCAATAAGAACTTTATTATTCAACTTGTTGGACGAATGAGAATTATTAGATTCTGTAGATGGCAGCTTAAGTATTTTAATAGTACTGGAGTCCATGTCATCGTCATCTTCATAATGACTGCTTAATTCATCTCTTCTCAATTTCGTTAGAGTTTCTGGTGTCATATCTTGGATAAGGCTAGTCTGTTGATCAAGTTGTTCATCGCCTGTTTTAACTGGCCTTTTTAAGAAACCAATTGATTTATATATCTGTTCTTTACTTCCATACATGTTCGATTGTTTCAATAGTTTAGGACGTATTGGAGTATTTGAATAAATGATACTGTGTGATTCAATTGTAGGCAGAGATTTTTCATTTTCTAAGTAATTTAATCCAAGCCAAACAAGTTGATAACGATTGTCGTCGTGATCTTTTTGGGAATAGAATAGATATTCGCCTTCTGTGGCATCATCTTTTAATGACTCATTGAAGTTATGCTCAGTGAATACTTTTGGATTGAAAGCCAACGTGATGGCATCAACTGTAATAAAGGGAAGTTTTATAAGTGTTAACATTATCACAAGAGATTCTGTTGTTTCGAAAAATACTTCATTATGATTTATTGAAACCACTGACCAGAGTTATAACAGTGACAGCACTGATTAAGTTGAGCTAACTGAGATTAGAAAACGATTATAATGATGCATTCGCATTTACTGTTTATTTATTATTATTTATTATTTCCTTTAATTCCTAGAGGAAAATAGGGCTTCGGCTGCGCGTCTCCATTGCATTCGGTTCTCTGCTAACGTTTTCATCTGGCTACACGTCTACCCACATGCTTTCATCTCCTCCTCACATCACATTCTTCAAGTCATTCTTGCACTGACGACCAACTCGCCGATTCCCTTTCAAACGGGTTCCACTCGACCGATGGCTTGTCTAGTGATATCACTTGATGGTTTCCTCAGGGTATGGCCAATCCATCTCCATTTCTTCCTCAATATTTGTTTCACAATCGGTTCCTGCTGAGTTGGTTCATTCATTGCTAGAGATCCCTGTTGCTGATCTTTTCTGGCCGGCCATCTCATCTTGAGTATTGAGCGAAGTCAACTGTTAATGAGGGTCTGAAGTTTGTTTGAGGTGCTACTCATGACGCGCAGTACAAGTCTCTGATTCGGATAGTAGCACCGACTGACTTCACATTGGAGTTGAAAATCCGGATCTTATTTTTGATGCTATGTGCTGTTGATCTCCACACAGACTTACTTGAGAGTAATGAAAGCTTGTCTTGCTTTCCCGATTCTGACTTTGATATCCTCGTCAGTTTCATTCGCCTGTAGTTGAAACGATGCTTCCCATGTAGGTAATTTACTCCTTAGTAGCTACAAAATTTTAAACACAGTCACTGTTGAAGATGAAACTGAAATTTTGGTCTATGCGCCATGCATACCAGTGACCCCCTCCCTATTTGCTCTGCTAGTTGAGTCATGAGATACAGTTGGTAATCAGATAATCATTTTTAATTTTTAGCGTGAGCTGACGCCAGTTAGGAAACCACTGGTAAATCAGGTAATACTTGATAGCTGTTGTTTCCTAGTTTGGGACTCTTCAGCACTCCCCCCCGCACCCACCCGAAGCCTAAACCCAAGGCCTTCCATGTACAAGAAAAACTCACAGATCATTCAGCTATTGGGACCTCCACTGGTCAGTCGGTGAACTTCAACTACTATTACCAATTAGTGATTTTAGCGCGACCACATCCAGTTTTGTCAGCGTGTATTCGTCCTCACCGATACGGTGGAACCCACTGGTTACGTACGACTTATTATTAAAACCTCTGGCGAAATTAAACATCACCTTTGCTTTCATCTGTCTGTCATTTCACTAGTGTTAGTCTATCATCTCAAACAGCATCACGAAATATATTCACTGTCTCACTTCAAAATGAAACAATTTACATTGTATTCTCTGAACTGTTTGGCTATACTTTTGGAGCTTTTATTATCCTTCTAGACAATATGTTCTCCATTAACTCCGAAATAAAATGATGTCTTTCAATGCTGTCTTTAATGACCTAAACGTTGGTGGGTTTTCTTTAGGAGATTTCCTTACCAACAGTTTTCCAGTCGAAAAGATATCCGTAATTGTTAGTGATAATTGATATGAATGAGTGTAAGTCATTAATTTCGCCTTCTAGTGAATATTCACAGATGTGAAGATAAAGTAGGCATCTACTTTGTCAGACATGGTACTGTTGATGCCTCATCTGATCATTCTTATAGATTATACTGGATTTCTCTTCTTTTGGTTCTGGGTCTTTTCATCTATATGATATTGAGGGAAATGATTGTATTTGCTGGTGAAAAATAAATGTATTCCAAAAGATTTCAACAGCCCGGCAGTTACTTCAGAAATCTTTTTTATATTTAGTAGAACGGCTTTCTCTGTACTATCATAAGATAATTTTGTGTTGGGTGAATGCATCGAGGGTAAGCATTTTCGGTTAAGTCTAAGGGGGGGGGATATATTTTTCTACAAAATTATCATAGGATATTTCTTCAATTTTCACCTCAAGACTGTACTTCTGTAGTGTATCCCGGCTCTTTGAAATGATCCCATATGAGATAAGTTTATATTACAAAGTCTGGTGATACAATATTTACAGCTGAATGGTGTTCCGAGCACAAATGATGGCACATGACTTTCCAACTTGCTGTAGAAAGTTTTACTGTCTCCAGTCTTTTCAATCTTCTCTTTTGGATAGCGTTTCTATATGACTGCTTTTATGTTGACACTTTGAGAAATTTAGCTGTGTAGTTTGACCATCTAGGTACTCGAATTTTCAAATTTCTTTCATTTATGAAACTTCGTTCTTTGATTTCTTTTCTCCTGTAAATTTGATATTGACGAAAAATGTCGTTGATTTTATGCTGAATGCTTTCCAGATTATTTCTTCCAATGATCACGATAGTATATTCATTGATATTTACCTAAAAGTTGATTAATAACAGTAAGTGGAAACGATTTCGCTCCTATATCCCTCGAAATCCATCATGGTACCACCTCAATCTACAATAAACTCTGAATGGAGGAAAATGCCCCTTTCTCATATTGTTGACTATTATCCACTACTCTCAGGGAATTGAAACGTTTTGACCAGTAGATAGATATTGATCGGTAAATGAACATACAAAGAGTACAAATGTTTGCAAACACTTAGATAAAACCCAATTTAAGTTATCTAATACCCTGTTATCATTGTCAGGTCAAATACATAGGTCAGACTAGCCGAGCATAAAAACCTAGCAGCGAAATCTAGATTAGTTGACCCGAATAAGATAACAAATCTAGAGAATAGTTCAGCTATGCCACTCACTACACGCAGTTACACACAACCATACATTATAGGATGATGGGATAAGATGACAGTTATAAAATCTACTGTCACAGCTGGATGGAGGGAGAGATTGATAACGGAAGCTTTGTTTATCGAATCAATTGACGGGAATACGTGTAACAGGAATGATTCAACACCTGTCCAGTTGGATATCTTATAAATTCTACTACCCCAACGACGATAAATAGGAGAGAACAAAGAGAACTATAGGACTCAGGCTTCGAAGTCGTGTGATTATAATTGATGAAATGATTATGAACAATAATAAATTCTGCTCGAAACTCTGTCATCCAGTAAATAATACTGTCTACCATGTGATATATCTAATAAACAAACTAATATGGAACTACTTACTACCACAGTGCCCAACTTTTTACACATATATTAGATAAAACCTCATTTACATGCTTATTATTTCTCTGTTATTAACAAATCCTTGAACTATTGAATTTCTTTATTAAAAACAACCAAATGGACCACTTTTTTGTGTAGAACATTCTGTGGCACTTTTGAGGAAAAACGAAGCAATAGTTTTACTGCTAATAACTGTTTACCTTCATTGACAGTAAATGCATCACCACATTTGACAGAAATAGGAGCATCATGTGACTTTGGTTCTGGAATAACTGACCATTCGCAAAAGATAACCAATAAAGGTCGTTTATTCTCCTAAAAACCATAATGAAAATGTTATAAAATATTTTATAGTATCTCTCTGTCCTATAAATGACCAAGTGACTGAATATCTAACAAAAGTGGCTAAGTGGCTGACTTACCAATGCGGAAATTTGTACGGCAGTGAGGATAATTCAATGAAGATTATCACAATCTGAAAGATAACAGGGAGTGAACTCATTTGCACGATTATCAGCCATATTACCAACAGCTTTCAACTATTAGTTCATAGAGTGGTAGTGACCCCCAAGCCAAATAGACCACCGCCTCCATGGCTGAACCAATACTCATCGACTTTATGAACAGGTACCATGCTTTCGTTTAACCACCCCTAACTCTCCTTTTGCCTATTATTATTTCAATTCATTTGGTTCACTTCACACTGAAGTCTACGCTGAAGATACTGCCCAAAAAGACAATGGAAACTTCACAATCAAACTATCCAGCTTGAAGAACACAACAATACATATATATACATACTACTAAAATGGCAAAACAGCAGTATGACAAAATGTCTCCATTTTTCTACCACAGAATTTTCTATTTGACTGAAAATACCCAAATCTTCACACAGAATTAATGAATGATTTTGACAATATTGTTATTTCTCACCAGCTACTAAAGTTGACAGTTTTCTACATGACAACAACTTATGTGCTATCAGAGTAGGAACTTCGGATAAGGCTGACAGTAACTGATGGTGATAAACAGCGTATATTTGCTACTCACATAAATTTTCCCAAAAAGTACAGTCTTTGTGTAACCAAATGGTAAATGTGTTCCTGAAGCTTTCATTCAACACTGTGGTAATGACAAGAGACTGAAATTTATCTGAAATGTGTAATGTATTTACGCAACATATTTCGAACATCTTGTTCACGAAGGTACTTGTCATACAGAGCACAAAAATTCACAATTTCATTATTTAAGTCAAAATGTTCACGGGTAGGGATCACATATGAGAGGTAGGAAGGTGAGGTGAGGAAATGGGGTAAGAAGAAAGGATAGAGGTAAAAACATTATGGGGTGAAATGAATCTTCCTATTAAAATTGGATTGTTACGGTAGGTTCAGAGCAATGATAAATTATTTGTGAAAACACAAAAAAGGCTTAAGCGTTTTTATGACTTAGCCTTCAACGAATCTAAACATGTCACCCAGAGCTGTTTTAAATATAAGTTTGAAGGCACTTTTGAAATCAACTTTGTGGTGTGTTTATATGGTGTAAATTTTAGTGCCTGCAAGAACAAATAAAATTATCTGCTACAATTAATCACGGAAAAGATTGTCCAACGTCATCTATCTCAAAGCACATCAACGAGATGAGTCATAGAGCTGAATGTAATAATGCCTTTAAATCCATGCATAAAACAGGTTTGAGTCACATACCCGAACTTGTTGAAGCCTTAACCATATTCATTAATATTATTTCCTTTTATTCCCAGAGGAGCATAAGGCTTCAGCTGCGCAACTCCATTGCCGCTTCTGGCTTTGATATCCCCGTCAGTTCCATTCGCCTGTAGCTGAAAGGATGCTTCCCAGGTAGGTAGGTAAAGGATGTTGTTTCTTTCAGGTTCCTCCCATTTATGCTGGCTGGTTGTTGTGTGTTGTTGTTGCTGTAGCTGTTGCTGTTAGCCCGAGAATCTTCATCACCTCTGTTTTCTCTATGTTCACCTGAAGGCCTATCTTCTCTGGATGCTTCTTCTGCCAACTTGTTGTTTTTCACTTGCATATCTTCTAGTTTGTGGGAAATCAGACATATATCATCGACGGGCGAAGTCCAGATCCTCCAAGTTTTTTGTGTGAGTCCATTTTATGCCTGTTTCCTCATTGCCCGCTGTCTTTTCCAATCTACCGCAATCAGAAAAATCATTGGAGATAGTAGACAGCCTTGCCTCACTCCCGTCCTTACTTCGAATGATTCCGTAAGTTTCGCGTTGTGCATTACTTGGCATGCAGCATTGTCGTATAACTGTTGGATGAGATGTATATTTGTCGACGGGACCCGTAGTAGCGAAATAGTTTCCAAATCACCTCTCGATCGACGCTGTCGAAGGCCTTTTCAAAGTCAATGAAGTTGAGATAGAGAGGTGACTGTCATTCCAAGCTTTGTTCAATAATGATCTGTAGTGTGGCGATTTAATCAATACATGACTTGTTTCTCCTGAATCCAGCTTGTTTCGGTCGACGTTTTTCACCCAGGTTGGCTTGTTTGGTTCTCTGTAGGATGATGCGGCTTAGTATTTTGCTTGGGATGGACAGGAGCACAATTCCGCGCCAGTTTTTGCATTCACGTAAGTCTCCTTTCTTTGGTAGTTTGAATAAGTACCCTTTCTTTCAATCCTCGGGAACTTTGCCCTCTTTCCACACCTTCTCCAGCAATGGCGTCATCAAGCCCGCTGTTGTCTCTGGGTCCATTCTCAATGCTTCTGCTTGGATTCCATCTGGTCCCGCCGCTTTTCCAGCTTTTAGCATCTTGATTGCATTCAGGACTTCTGATTTCATCGGGGGGTCAATGTTCACTGGTAGATCTGCTTCCGTTGTTGGTATTGTTGGGCGCGTTGTAGGTGGCGGACAATTTAGAATTCTTTTGAAGTGTTCAGCCTAGTGTTTTCTTTGCTCCACTTTTTTGGTGATTGACTTTCGATTGTCATCCTTTACTGGCTTAATCTGTGTCGAACTTTTGCCTGATAGGTGCCTAGTTGTTTGGTAGAGTGTGGCGAGTTCTCCTTTGCCTGCATCTTGTTCTGCTTCACTCGCCATGGCTTCATAATATTTTCTTTTGTCTTCCCTGGCACTCTTCTTCACTCTTTTGTTCAGTGAATTGTAGCTTGCATTCAACTCCTGTTTTTGTTGCTCGTCGGTGCACTAGATAATCTTTTGTTTCACTGTCCTTCTCTCTTCTATTAGTTTCCAAGTGTCCTCAGTGAGCCACTGTCTGTCCTGTCTCTTCTTTCTGCCTAGAACTTCCGTACAGGTTTGACTCTACACCGTTTTCAAGTTGTTTCAGTGCTTTTCGACGCCAACCTCTTCACTAGTGTTGATTTGTGTCTCGGCTTTGTCCCTTATGCTTGCAATGAAGATGTCCTTTGTGTCTTGGTCCTTCAGTTTCAGTCGGTTCGGAAATTATTTGTCATTACATAGAACCAGTCTTTGTAATCTACCCATTCTTTATTCCTACCACATTTTCTCACCTCATCTACCTGCCTCTCACCTGTGATCATTACCTGTAAACATTTTGACTCATATTGATAAAAATTCGATAAAATTTTTGTGCTCTGTATGGCAGGTACATCTGTGATCAGAATGTCCGAAATTTGTTCCATAAATACATTACACAGCTGAGATAAATTTCGTCTTCTTCAGTTATATTCCATTTGTGAAGTGTCTTATATTCATAATTCAGGTTTTCAGTCAACCAGTCTTCACGTAACCAACTTTTCTTTTTAAGAATAAACTGGAAACTTTTATTTTTAAAAATTAATTTATAGACTGATTAAATAGTGCATATATGATCGATTTGATTAAGTTTATTAGGTGATTTTCACGCATGTATCACTTTCCTTTCCCAATAATGTAAGACTGCTATGAATTTCCACCAGTGATGTAATCGCCAGAGGAAAACTTAAAATAATGTCCCTCTTGAGACACAATACGATCACTGCTACTTATGGAACTCATCCGCTGTCATCAGCATCAGTATCACCTATAGAAATGAAGTTTACTGTATTTATATTAATAACTGATTTGTTGGATACAGCTTTCTATCCATCCATCCATCCATTACGCTCCAATCAATGCTTACAACTGTTCTCAGCTTATTATAGAATCAATAACAATAGAATTCAAACAGAGAGGATGGTTTGGATATGATTACAAAGTGAAAAGCTTCTTCATTGTAAGACAGATGTTAATCAACTGTTCTTTTTATAATTTCATTATCATCTACCACAATGCAGACTTTTTGGAGACTGGGATAAATGCTACGACATTTTTCATTTAATAAATATGGTAGCGTTGACTTCCATTATACGACACAGATGAATAACATTTAAAAAATATGACAAATATTAAATAAAGTTAGGTTGACTCAATCGAAGATGTACTAACCTTTTGGGTTACTCTGACAACAAAACGTACAACAGGTGGAGATACACTTTTACGAAAATTCTCAAACTGTCTGTTAATAAACTTTTGGTATCCCTCTAAATCATTCTCCGACATCTCATCTAACATTTTCCATAGTTTATTTGCATCTTCTAGTAACTTGTTGGCTGACATATTTTGCTAAATGGTATCATGAAACCACAAGACGAAGATGTTCACTTCTAAAGTGATGCAAAAATAAACGTAATAAGTACGTCGTAACTCTGTTAAAATGTCAAGTGTAAGGCAGGGTACAATGACCAAAAATTACACAATACCTCTGATATGGAAGTTTGGCTTTTACAACAACAAAATCCCGACTCTTAGTTCTCATAATTTATTTTCGAAATAATACATTCACAAAATATTGATTTTATAGGAACTTCCAAACAATAGAAAAAATTGTATTTATTGTGCCATTAATCAGTGGTATATATCTACAAAGATTAAAAAGTGGCCGTTATTAGTAGAAGGACTTATGTATAACAAGAAATAGGAACAAATTAAGAGCTAGTTGTAGGATGTGTTGGTCGGGATTTACAAAAGAATTCGCCACAGCTGCTAATATATCATCAACTCAATTCTTTCTTCGATATAAGTGTGCTCTAAATTTCTTGAAGTCCCATACACTGTCATCAGTTTCAAGCATCAAGCAAGAACTTCTCAAGCTTCGGATTTCACCCTTTTCACGTGCTTGTAAAAATGATACTCATCTCAGAACAAGTTTTCGTTTGTGCGCATACTAGTAGAGATGCTTTACTCCCTTACCTTCTCTTCCTATTGTCTTTGTACGACTTTGTCTTGCATGAGGTTTAAGAAGTTGTATAATCACTAAATAATGTCGGATCTTAATTTGAAAATTCCCTTCCAAATGACTAAAAGTGAGTTGAAATTTGATCAGACTTCTCAGACAACTTGAAGTGTTAATTATGAAATGGATCTACGTTAGGAATCAATAGGCTGGTTTCATTGATAACGCTTTTCGGTTGTGCTCAACTACTTTTATCTCACAAAGCGTACAGTATTTAATAACCTAATTAGAAAAATAGTTCGAAACTATTGAGTATGTTGTGCTGATTTGAGGTCAGTGTCAGTTGAATTAGTTAAACCAGTCAACAAGATGCAGGTACAATGTTATTTCAGACTTCGGTTGTACTGAATACATTTTTTTTGCTGATTTCGGGCCCATTATTCGGTAAATCTGTTCATTTATGGTATTTGTTCTTTTCCAAAAGAGGACAAGTTATGCGTTTTTAACCTCACAGAGAAAGTTAAGAGAAAAGCGCAAAAAAATAACACATTTAAAGAAACAAATTAGTCAGTATCAAAGTGCAAGTTAACATAGTGCATTAGCCCCATAAATAATGGATACTTAACGTGAGCCAGCATGAATGCATGATTGTACGTTGCAATACAGAATGAAAAGACTTGAGACAGCAAACACTAATTTAGCCGTAACACGAATGAAAGATGATCAGTGTCCGAGGTTTGAACTTTCAGTGTGGATCAATCTGCAGCATTCAGTTTCACAGTCGTGGTGCCAGGCTACGTGATTGGACATAACGGTTTATTGCGCGCAGTATTGTATTTTTACAATAGATGGAAAGAACGGCTTCAAAAGTTTTGAGATACATGAATTAGATGTTATAAAACAGAATCAGTTTTATTTAGATTTTTCATTCGTACCATCGTCTTTCGCAGTTTTACCTCGTACTAAACCAGTGTAGATTCCACTGAAGAGTTTTTCGTGGACTTTAAGATGATCTAAACAGTATTTAAGTCTAGTTGGAGGGTTTTAAGTCCTCTAAGACAGTTATTTATAGACCAGTCGTTTGAGGCTCATATCAGCTCATTAATCACTGTGATGTGCAATATCAACTCTTGTAGAGAAGAATTTCCGGGAAGAAACATGAGAAAGAACGATAGATCACCAAGAAGACAAAAATATCAGATAAGGATAGCACTGAAACCCACAGAGAGGATTTAATGTGCAGAAGGATTCAATAGACGCTTCTATATACACTAGTCTCATTCAGTTTTTAACTCGCAAATACTGGAAATGCTTCTGTTTCACATATACCTGGTAAGTATAACGCGGTCTCGTTAGATATTCTGATTTGAAGTTACACAAAATTTTAAAAATTTCTAAATCTTCTCTTAACAAGTCAGGGAGATTATATTTAAACTTTTATCAATCTAATCTTTTAACATAAGTACTTTGTTTTGGGTCCCAGGAGTGTTGTGGATTGAAGCCAGTGTTCGACCGCAAAATAATCCCTATAGAAAAATGTACTCAAGCCTACCACTGTGTAGGGAATGATTTCGGGTCAAATTAGTCGGTAGTTAGCAGAAATTATTTATTAAAACAACAATATTTTTCGTGATAACGAATGCGATCAAATACTAAATGATTCATATCAGACATTAAAGACACTTTCAAAATGCTTTCTAATACACACATAAGTTCGATAGATGAGATGGTTTCGTTACTTTTAGTTTTGAAGTCACTAAGACTAAGGCTGAAGTAGGTTAAATGTCTTCAGTGTTACCTTTAAATCGCAGCTTCACCCTGGGAAATCCTTTGCTGCAGTAAGTAGACTGGACAACAAATATCTAACAATTACCAATATTTGGAGCATTTTGATTTAAATGGTGAGGGTTGACTGGGAATGAGGAAGGCTTGGTTTTTAAAAGCTGCGAACCAGCAGTTCATTAAACTGAGCATAGATACTTAGTTGATACCCTGATTATCAGTCCACACCGTCGATAACCTTTAAGCTATTAGTTTTAATAAATCCGCAACCTATGTTTACATATCTCAAGTTAAATAAATGGTACCGTGTAACTTAATCTGGTTATTGTAATGAAAATTCTACTTTAGAAAGGCCAAATGAAATTAAACGTGAGCGAGAGGCTAGTCTTAAACTGGTCTGAATACTAAAGCATTAATACTTTCGTCCACAAGTCTGGAAAATAACTCTCCGGCAGAACGACAACTATTATCTAGGCGCATAATTAAGTTGGTATGGTGAAATCTATAACTACAATGGAAGAAGGACATGACAGCTGTGTTCTATGTTACAGTACCAACTTTGTCTCTTAGTGTGGGTAAATTCACAAGCTTTACATATAGCTGAAGACTGTATGTGTGTGCGGCTTACATCCACAGCATTAAAGCACAATCTATTTTAAAAAACTAAAATAATAGCTAGGTTGTCTTATGCTAAGCTAATGAAATCCTTCATTCACTTCGGCAACTTTTTGCATAAAACGTAAGACAAGACTTCAAGTGCATTTTAGCCTTCAGGGAAAACATTTAGCAGGCTATAAACGTCAAGTCCGTATCTAAACCCATCTACGAAATGATCCGTGAAATCCAAAAGGTGCCTGCAAATCTCTCGACGTTTGCGTCGTTATGTGTCTAAGCTTTCAATGCACAAATATAAGGTGATGGTAGCTGAGCAGATTGAGGATCTGGGGCCAATTTAAACTTTAAGTACCAGTAAGCACCAGTAGAATGCGACAGCACCACTGATCTTGAAACGCTCAGAGAGCAAGTCAGTGAAACCCGGTAAATAGTATTGTGATCACTAATAAAATGTACCTAACGAAGTGCTACGTCCTTAAATGGAATATCTCGCAAATTTTAGGTTAAGTCTGGAAAAGATTAGGTTACAGTTTAGGCTAAGGGCAGGTTAGAGTTAGGTTAACCTCATGTAGGCGGCATTAGGGTTGGTTCGAGTTATATTAGGCTTAGTTTTTGGATATTGTCACGTTAGACTTACGTTAAAGAAATACAAGGGTTAAAGGCCTACATAATTACATGCAAAGAATGTGGCTAAGTTTTTCTGTTGGTACCCCAATCCAAAACCGAGAGCTATTTTTCACACGTGTCAGAGAAAGGTGACTCGTGCAACAGTTACATATCTTTTGAATCATCAACTTTTATTGAATATACGTATTTAACCCTCAAACATCGCCTTTATTATGTGGTTAGTGCATTCAGGGCCATTACTGCACTGGCACCCACTGGTGATTGAAGTTTAACTATTACTAAACTGGGAGCATATTATATCCAAGCTACATTTCCTAGAATGCATTAATTGTCTTTTTAAACCTTTATCCGAATTTGAATTTGAATATGGACTTGTTAACAAATATATATATTCATACGTCGATTTGTGCATGTGGATTCACGCATACAGATGTATAAGCAAATTAACCTAGGTTGGTCATGACAGATATTTAGCAGCAGCAGAAACAAAAATCTGTATAAAAATATAATATGACGGTGACTTCAAAGTATAAGCCTACATTCATTAAATAGCCCAAAATAAGCAAGACTAAATTTGTCGATCTCAGCGTCTAGTTGTCAAGATTTTGAAATGTGGTCTGAGTTCTAATGTCCAATAACCTTTATGGAGCTAGTTTAAACTAAATTGATTTCTCTAAGCTTTCTTCTTGGTGATTCCCTGAGTAGTTTGTCGAACTGCTTGACTTTTGTAGCTTTGGAACACCTCGAGAAGAGTTGTAGAGTTCAGAACGATGATTGAAAGGGAGTGCTTTTTTCACGTATTTCACGTTTTTGACAAATCGCTGTTTTGTTGTGTTATTCACCTCAAAAAAAATTTTAAAAAACTTTAACTTGACTTTTGTCTGTTAAGTTTTGATTTTAACCACTTATATAGTCTATATTGGGTAAATTGTCTTGGCTGTTTCCAGTAGAATTTCATTATGTCAAAAGTACCACATAAATGTAATAGAGCGGAGTGTTACTTTTTGGTATATGATGGAATACAGTGTAATAACTGTGAAAAGTGGTATCATAAGATGTGTACTCGATTACGTCCAGTTGCATACAAATGTTGTACTGCTCCAACATCCCACTGGATGTGCAGAATGTGTTGCTGTTATTGGAAACGTATGCTTCCAAGACCTGTGTGGATAAGCCAGACCGCATAGGAAGCCTGAAGGTAGTGTACACTAATATACGTAGTATCGGGAACAAATTTCACGAGCTAGGTGTATTAGTAGAAGACCTTAGCCCAGGTATTGTGGCCATTACTGAAACATGGCTGGTTTCGGGATTAGATGACACACCTGAGCTATGCGGATTTAGTTGCTTGCGCAGCGACAGAGTTAAGGGTCGTAGAGGTGGCGGGGTTGCTCTGTACATCAACAACTCCCTACATGTTCGTTCCGTGAAATCTGAAGCTCATGACAGTGGGACAGGTGAGGTAATTAGCTGTGAAGTAAGCTTTGCAACCGGCACTCTACTCATTGGAGTTCTGTATAGAAGTCCCTATTGTCAGTGTGATGACTTCATTTTAGATCACCTCAAACAATGGAGTAAACACAGTAGCTGTCTTATTCTAGGTGATTTTAATGCACCTCATATAGACTGGGTAGCTGTCACATCTCCAGGATCCGCTGATAAGTTTGACAGCCGGTTACTCTTGACAACCATGGAAAATGCCCTGACACAACATGTCTTAGGTAGTACAAGATTCGGTTCTACCCAAGGATCTTCCTTGCTGGACTTAGTGCTTACTCATGACAACGACGACGTGGATGGTCTAGTTATTCATCCACCTCTAGCAAACAGTGATCATGGGGTGTTAGATTTTAACTTAAGGGCTGGCAATTTAGTCAGTTTTCAACCCAAATCCCGGCCTAGTGTTTGGCATGCTGACATAGTGGCTATAAAGGAGCGTGCTTCAACTGCCGACTGGTCAGTCAACATTGTCTCATCCATTGAAGATGAATGGGATAGATTTAAGAATACACTTGAGAGGGTTACCACTGATCTCATCCCCTGGAGGGTTCCTAAAAGGCCAACAAATCGGCCACCATGGATAAATAGACAAGCTATAACACTCCTGAGACGGAGAAAAAGGTTCTGGAATCTCTTTGTTTCTACTGGGCTACAGCAGTTCCGGCTGAAATACTGTGAAACCAGAAACCAGTGTAAAACTTTGATCCACCAGTCAAGGATAGCTTACGAAACCCAGTTAGTTAAAAGTTCACCAGGCTGCCCAAAAAGACTCTTCTCATATATCAAGAGAAGAACACGTAAGAGTGATGCTATCCCACCTCTTATGCTTGAAGATGACCAGACAAACATGGCTGAGGATAACTTGACTAAGGCTGAGGCTTTGTCCAAGCACTTTAGTCAAGTATTCTCTGATAATATTGATACCAGCTTTGTAAATTTTCCAAAAGGTAACTTGAAAATGGCACCCTTATACATTGGAAAGGATACTGTCCTAAAGTGGCTTCTAAGGCTCAATCCTGGTAAGTCCAGTGGCCCTGATGAACTCCACCCACGTATATTAACAGCATTGGCTGAAAGCATAGCCGAGCCATTGTCGGTAATCTTCAATATGTCTCTGGACCAGTCTAAATGTCCAAGAGACTGGAAAGATGCCATCATTAGTCCGGTCTTCAAAACCGGATCTAGAAACTTAGTTCAGAACTATCGTCCTGTTAGTTTGACCAGTATTGTTGTTAAACTACTAGAAAGAATAATTCGTGATGCTATCATTCAGTTCATTGAAGGGAACAAACTTTTCGCTGTGGAACAGCACGGTTTTAGAGCAGGTCATTCTTGCTTGACCAACCTTCTTTTGGCCAGAGAAAGTTGGGCAAGCTCAGCTGATGCTAATATACCGGTGGATGCCATATTCATAGACCTTAGCAAGGCGTTTGACAGGGTTTCTCATTCAGGTCTTCTAGTAAAGTTAGGTAGTCTGGGAATCAATAAAGTGGTTACCGACTGGATTCAAGACTTTCTAAAGGACAGAAGACAAAGAGTACGAGTTAACGGGGTTTTATCAACATGGGAATCGGTTAAGAGTGGCGTTCCTCAGGGTACAATTCTAGGCCCACTTCTTTTCCTGATTTATGTTAATGAGATTCCATCGGTAGTTAAGTCATCCTGCTTACTGTTTGCTGATGACATCAAGATATGGAGGGCTTTGCACGATGACAGTGATCAACTTGCTTTGCAGGAAGATTTAAACTTGTTAAGTGATTGGTGTAAGCACTGGGCCTTGGAGATTAACTTAAGCAAGAGTGTAGTTATGCATGTATCCCATAGTCACGTGCACAATTACTCAATGAATGGCATTACTCTCCCAGTGGTCACTGAGTACAAGGACTTGGGAGTGGTTGTGCAGCATGACTTGAAAACAGCAACAAACTGTAGAACTGCAGCCACTAAGGGTTTTAGAATGTTATGGGCCATACGCAAGGCTTTTGCGAACTTTGACGCTGATATATTTCGTATATTATATCCGACTTATATCAGACCTCATTTGGAATATGGGATCCAGGCAGCGAGCCCGTGTTTCAAATACGAAATAGACTTATTAGAAAGGGTGCAAAGAGTAGGAACTAAGCTAATAAAGGGTTTCTCAACCCTGTCATATGAGGAGAGGTTAAGTCGACTGGGTTTATTTCCACTGTCATACAGACGACTTAGGGGTGACCTAATACTAGCATACCGTATCCTAAGAAATGATTTTGGAGCTAATTTATCTAAATTATTTCTTCCTTCTAGCACCAACCAATTGCGAGGACATCACCTCAAGGTTCAAAAACCACGGTCGAATCGTCTGCGTCTGGAAATCCGTTTTTCGCATCGAATTGTGAACCATTGGAACTCCCTACCGGAACACGTCGTATCAGCGCCATCCGTTGATTCATTCAAGGCGAGATTGGACCTCCTGTATGCAATAAATCGAAAGGATTAACACAGGCATATAGCCTACTATCCTAAATAAACTGTAAACTGATTTCGTACACATCTTGTTAATATCATTTATTTGTGGTTTGCACTCTGCTGTGTTTTAAGGCCATGTTCTTTGAAGGTAGTTAATCGTTTAACCCATTAACCTTCTAGTGTGATGGAATAAAGATAGTTATAGTGTAACAACAGAAGACAAGGGCCAGGCAACAGATCGTTTTATTATGAAATCAACATGTATTTATACATATTTCAACTACATTATTATAGACAAGCGCAGTCATCTGATTGGTTGTTTTTAGGTAGACAAACGCAGGCTTCTGATTGGTTGTTTCGGGATTCCTTGACAAATAGTTCTCTATCTGCGAATCACATTTTGCCACGTTAACTTTGCTGTGATTGGTTGTTGACTCAGCCTTGTTCATATTTTCTCACGGCCCATATTAGTGACCTAGACCTTAACGTAGATTAGTGCCAACCAATCGGCTAGCAGCCTGCTCTCACCACAATAGTAACAGCATAGACTACACAAACCTGAAAGAAGAAAGTACAAACAAATTGATAATGAAGTTTACAGTCAAAAAGTAAGCGAGTAGATAGTCAGAGTCGTCAGAAGAGGAAGGCAGGGAGAAGTGAACAGTGATAAGAAGCAAGTTCAGATCCCATTCAATTATGCATTGTGGTGTTTGAGTTTCAACGGGATAGTCCATTCGGTAACACTGCTAGTGTCGCTAAGTGACTATACAGCCTCCGCTTAGGGCTTTCCACAGGCGGCGCAGTTACCACAGCCGCAGAAAAAGAGTTCAGTGGACAACAAACTCGAGGGTAAAGGTGGGCCACGCCCAAGTCTTCTCTCATTGGTACGCATACCTTCGTGCGTTGTCACTAGAAAACTCTTAATGACCTAGTAGCAGAATATCTCTTTTCGAATGATTCTAGTAATTTGAAATCCTGCAAGCGGTAATCAGGTCACCTCTGAAGGGACGGAGAATAGATGTGAAGAAGCCAAATTTCCACAGCCTTCCGTCCTATGGTTTGTTCTGGAGATTCCTAAACCCTTTATCACCCGTCTTTGATCTCTATCCAGTGTTGATATCCCTTTTAGGCAGCTGCTCTCTTCCACTTCTTCGTCAATTTCCATGAATCGATGGAGGCTGTAGACGCGATCAGAAGCGGCTGAATAAACTTATAATAATTCATATTGCGTATAGGCTGGCGTTTACGAGAAATGCATGCCATCTTTACAGGCACGATTATTTATGTAATAAAAAATAATAATAAACAATAAAAATAATAATAAACTTGCAATCGTGAGAATCATAAAGTAATACTTTTTCAAAAGTTTAAATTGTTCGATTATTGTACAAGCAATCACAACAAGTTCTTACAAATGTTAGATTGCTAACTTCTGAGCCCTATTTGTGACCAGATGGCCAAATGCAGTAACAATATGAGGACTTTCTTGAGGCAAGATTTGGCAGTTTCACTCAGACTTTTGCAGAATGCACCAGTTAAGCTTCCACGTAAGAATTTCGCGATGGCAGTGATACCCGCAGTCCTGTTAAGTTGTTTGGATATTTCAAACATTTTTAAACCGGTGAGATAATGATCAGTCAGGCCCGTTAATCTGAATGACCCCTGTCTGGTAGCTTTTCATTCGGACAGGAATCAGGATAAGAGTTAAAGGTCCTCTGACAAGCTTTGCTTG